TTCAAATTAATTAATGTCCCTGCTACTCAGTGTTAGTAGACTCCTTTTGCATATCTCTTCTTTCCACATAGCATGAAATGAGTGCGCCTCCAAAGACCAAAAATATAAAGGGTTAGGTGAAAAATTCTGTGGTGAGATTTGCTTTAATTTGTTTGGTATCCTGTCCCAATATATAAGTAGTGTGGGGTCTAATAGGAATGCTTGCCTGCTGAAAAACTTAGAAAAGATATATGCATGTACAGTACGGTCATCCATGGTGCTAATCGGATAGCAATGTTGCCGTTTTCTTTATATATATAAAAAAACCTGTCTCTGACAGGTATATGATCGTGTACACCAGCTGCATGCTTTGAGCAAAAAATGATGAACATATCTGCAAGTGTGGAGAATGGTACAATTATTACTGCTTGGTGGTACATCAGCTGGTGAGCTAGTGAGCCTTAGAAGGTTAGTAAGATTGAGATCGATGTGCACAGTAGCAGCAGTTGGGATGAATTGTACCTAATGCTCCACATGAATTGAATCGAATGAAATATGGATTGCTTCATGCACAAGTCCAATTAGAGGGCGTTTCAACTTGGAATGTCTGCAGGTCGCTGTGTTCTTGTCATGTAAGGAGTGGTATATATTCCTTTCGATCTGTGCTAGCTGCGAAGGCACGCATGCATTAGTTGCAAACGACTTTGTATTATTAAATATATGATGCTAGCTACTAACAAATAATAGTAATGAAGCTTTGATTGATTGATTTTGAACCATTAGCTACCTAAAGTGAGTAACCTACAGATCATATGAAATTAATAAAGATTGTTATAGCTAGTTTAATTGCCGACAGAGCACTGTCTATTTTCTCGGTCTGTCCCACTCTTTTGACGACCTCTGCATCCTACTCGATCGATCCATGTACATATATATGATTCCCCAGTCCATGCTATGCATGATTATATAAAGCCTGAATGAACGCATGAACTAGCTAGTCATGATAATCAGGGGCGGAGCTTCAGGGCAAAATCCATGGTTAATAAATTCCTCAGACAATGGACGAGATATCAAAATCTGCTGCAACCGTGATATCAAAGTGGTCCAGTTATATACTATATTATTGGCTGTTAGGATTTATCTATCGGCTGGACGATCGGGCAACATCATCGATCGATCAATCTGTTGACAGTTAATTAGTTAAACCAACAAATTAAATTAACCGGCCTTGTGCGCACAAGAGTACAACACTGTAATCACAATCACGCACTCTGCTTAGCTAGCTGTTGATTGGTACGGTAGATCAACAAGAGTCTCTTGAAAATAAAGATGACCACAAATTAGAGAGGGCCTACACCTGCCTCTGCCTGCATGGCTGCATCTGCATTCACCTAACCTATATACCTCCGAGGGGCCATGCTGTCGATCTCATTTGGCCCCTTCTTTTCTCCGTCAAGGCGTCAACTAACTAACTCACCAAACCCCCCCCCCCCCCCCTTGTCTGACACTGTTTACACACAACTTACTCTAATGAAAATGATATCCTCTTTTTCTTTCCTTCTTTTTTTTAATTTATTAATTAAGGACAAAAACACTGATGACAATTAATCGATCGATCCTTCCTGGGCTAGCTTTCCAGATGGGCCAAACTAGAAAGGAAAGACCAGGTATAATATAATGGCCGTACGTACGTACGTAGATTGATTGCATGCCTTCCAAATCTTCAGTCTGAAGACATAACATTACATGTACAGTAGTAGTACGAACGAATGATTGGGATCAAAACATAAGAAGGGATCCTTTTGAATGGTTATGTATCAAGTATGAAAATAATCCAATGGCTATTATACTTTTCCAGGTGACATGGTTCAATGTATAGTAAGATTTATGTAGCAATAACAATACTAAGTAGGTTATAAATACATATAATATATGGGTTGAGATCAATACATAAGAAGAATGCAAAGACTACTACTCCCTCCGTTTCAAAATGTTTGACACCGTTGACCTTTTAGTATGTGTTTGACCATTCGTCTTATTCAAAAAATTTAAGTAATTATTTATTCTTTTCATATCATTTGATTCATTGTTAAACATACTTTCATATACACATATAGTTTTACATATTTCACAAATTTTTTTTGAATAAGACGAACGGTCAAACATGTGCTAAAAAGTTAATGTGTCAAACATTTTGAAACGGAGGGAGTATTTTTTAAGATGATGTGGATTAATGTATGATATGTTTTTGTTATGATATATAGATTAGTTGGAGGAGTAAAATATTTTTTTTATAATGAAGGCAAACCTGCATTAAATTGGCAGAAGTAAGATCTCAATTCAGCTGGGCTGAAATTAAGAAGAGTTAGAATGCAGCTTCTGGGCTAGCTATACATGAATGCTCGGCCCATGTCGATCTGTGAGTGCATGCTTGCTTTCGTACTGTCTTGTTCCATTGATTTTTGGGTCAACCAAGACAGCATGCATAAGATGATCTGTAGCCCACTACTAGCTCCAATTTATCGATAACCAATCTAAAAGTCAATTCATACAATAGTTGCTTACTAATATATAGTCCCACCTGTCATACACACATTGCGTCTTTAAATCCGCGCTGGAGCTGGCTACAGATAGCCCACTGCTCTTCTCTCTTATTTTTTATCTCATTAAAATACTATGTTTATAGCTGGCTAATAGTCTGCTATTGTACCAGCTCTAATAAAATGTCAGATCAAATATTTATGGGCTGATCAATGATTGATGTTGGTAAAAAGACAAAGGGGAACAGTTGGTTGGCCGGTCATACTCAGAGCAAATCACCCCTAAACTATTAGAGTACTCCTTATATACACTTCATCCGTTCTAAAATATAAGTATTTTTAAAATAGTGCCAAGTTAAACTTTTAAATTTTAACTATTAATAGCAAAAAATTTAGAAAGATTAATCATGCAAATTTGATCTACTATATATATTTATCATTAAACGAACTATCATAATATGCAACTCTTTTATTTAAAACATTATACTTTCGTAGATATTGTTTGTCAAAGTAGTATCTCGGAGACCGTATCGAGATCCAAAACTACTTATATTTTGGGACGTAAGGAGTATTAAACATTGCTAGCTCTCTAAAATGCATCTTTCACCATCATATTTTTCTCCTAAGTATTTATATAAACTATTCAAAACACAACGATTCACGAGATTTGCGTAATGATTTAAAACACAACGATTTTAGTATTTGCGTATATACTTATGTCTAAGATCCTTAAAAGTTTGAATGCACACATATGTATGTGCAAGATACAGTGTTCATATGTGCAGAAATGTGAGGGTTACAAGCGAATCCTTTGTGTTGTCATGGGTTGATATTAGAGCACCTTGATAATGTCATAATCAAGCCAATCATATCATGAGCAAGTCCTTGGTAAAAGGACTTCAACTTACTCCCTTTGTTTCATATTACAAGATATTTTTATTTTTATATAATTTTTTAAGTTTGATTAAATTTATAGAAAAATATAACAATATTTTTACACCAAACAAACATACTATTAAAATGTATTCAAATGTTAGATTAATAGAACTAATTTGATCCGGTAAGAGTGACTACATTTTTCTATAAGATTGATTAATCTTATAGGAGTTTGACTTATAAAAAGAGTCAAAATATTTTATAATATAAAACCAAGGAATGATATCATTACTAACAAAACCAGCAAATTAAGCACTAGCTGGGAATTATTCTTTTAGAAGAAAGAGACAACCTTTGGTTTGACTGTGTTGGTTCCTTGATGACATGAGGCACCCGACTCTTGTTTTATAAGATCGTCCAACTCATATTCTGTGATGCATAGGTATTTAACAACATTGAACCTGGCAAATTAGTATTAGTGAAGTTCATGTAATTAAGGACATGCCACTGTCCAATATATGGTACTCCATATACCTAGCTCAGAAAGGACACATGTCCTGTGTAGAGAACTTAGGAATCTAGTAGTAGTTGAGATCTGAGACTTCCAATATCATTAGCTCTCCTGCACTTAATTGAGTTTGGGGTGGTTTGAGATGCTTAATTCGTGTACACACTATCTGGATCCTACTGTAGTAGAGACCATGTGTCCCACAACACTGAAACTTACCAAGCAAACAACCATATCTCTGAAAGCAAAAGGCATGTCTGAAACTTGTCGTGTCGTGCATGCATGGGAGCTGAATGAATGGTTCATGAAGCCAACGGGTGCTTCGGGAAGCCAATAAGTTTCTGTCTTGCTAATACAGTATTTGATAAAAAAAAATGGAGATAATGTATGTGCAAGATACAATATATGTTCATATGTGCAGAAATTAATGTGGGTGGGGGGTAACAAGCGAATCCTTTGTTTGTCCTAGATTGGGACTTTAGCACCTTGATAATGTCATAACCAAGATAATCATGATCAAGTTTATAAAAACAAGCTGTTAAAAGGACTCCATCTTAATATATCATTACTAAAAAAAACAACCAAATTAAGCATAGCTGGAAATTATTCCTTTCTCAAGAAAGAGACAACCTTTGGTTTGTCTGTGTTGGTCCCTTTGATGACACGGGCACTCAACTCTTGTTTTGTAGGATCGATCAACCAACTCATATTCTGATGCGTAGGTATTTTACAACATTGGATTTGACAAATTAGTACTCCAGGTATGATATTGGATTTGGAGTATTAGTGAAGTCCAGGTATGATATAGACCTAGCACAGAAAGGACACATGTCCCGTGTAGAGAACTTAGGAATCTAGTAGGTGAGATCAGGACTTCTAATATCATTAGCTCTCCTGCTACTTAATTGAGTTTGGGGTGGTTTGAGGTGCTTAATTAGTTCGTGTACATACTATCTGGATCCTACTGTACTAGAACTAGAGACCATGTGAAGACAAATTAATGTGTCCCACATCACTGACCCTTACCAAGCAAACAACCATATCTCCGAAAGCAAAAGGCTTGTCTGAAACTTGTGCATGCATGGGAGCTGAATTGATGGTTCATGAAGCCAACAGGTGTTTCAGAAAGCCAATCAGTTTCTGTCTTGCTAATACAGCATTTGAACAGAAATGGGGATATGAGGTAGGCTAATGAGACCGAATTGTTGTTCTTCATTTTCATTCTTTCCGGAAATTACGTAAGAGAAGACAACAAGCACAAAGATTTACTATAAATCTTTGTGCAACATCAAATCATATCAATCGAAGCATAAAGATTTACTAGAAAGCATCTACTACAATTATGTCCACATGGACTCTTTCTTGAGGAATGCCTCCTGCAGCATCAGCTGGTGATGAGCAGCAGCATTCTCCAGGATGCACTGCTGGTGGTGGTGGTCATCTTGATCTTGGTGCTGCTGCTGCAGCTGGAGTTGCAGGGCGGCGGTCTCGGCGTGGGCGAGGGCGAGCTGCATCTGGAGCTGGGAGACTTGGTTCTGGAGGAAGGAGATGGCGGCGACGCAGCCGTAGACGGGGTCCCTCATACGGGCGTTGGCCTCGTAGACGAGGCTGCTGACGGCGTCGGGCCTCTGCGGCGGCGGCACATCGAGCAGCATCTTGCTGACGTTGCTGGCGCCGAACACCCGGTGCACCATGGCGAACCGCTGCGCCTCCTCCGCCGGGAAGTAGGGCGCGAACACGCACTCCGACGTGCACCGCCGCCGCAGCAGCTTGCACGACGCGCACGGTGTCCCGCTCCCGCTTCCCGCCATTGCTTGCAGTTGCAACTTGCAAGTGCAGGCCTCTACTGTACTGGGCAGCAAACAGTTGATGCAGAGGAGCAGGCTTCAGGGGGGAGGGTGCACGGGAGCAGAGCTTCTCCTTTTATAGCTCAACAACAGCAACAACTAAGCTGAGTCACGACAAACATAATTAACACTACTAAACAACTAAGCATATGAGGAGTATTAAGTATAGTGATCCCTCATAACATGTTAATCATGATGTCCTGCTGGAGGCATGGATCACATCCACCCATATCATTGATTACTCATGTATAAATATGTACAGTAATGGGTTCTCTGACTTGTTTTGTCTCTACTTGGCAGCAAATAAGATTAAGCCATCAAAAGTCTACATACGAGCTAAGCCTTCATTCTTTTCTGAAGTGTGAATTGCAGGCATCGATCACTTTTCAAAGTTCAAAGCAAGCTCAAATTACCACCACCGAAAACCACTTTTTTTTTGTTTCACTAATCAAATCAACCAACCACATGCACCGTTAACATTCCTCCCCCGCGATCGACAAAAATGAGTTGGACCCTAACTAGCTACGACTACGACGACAGCTGGTAATCAAGTTCGTTCAAACGTACTACTACTACACACTAGTAAATGTGGACTCTAGTGCAGTTTGTTTGACCTTTGGTTACTGAACTGTTAATGTTAGTTCCTGCGCACGTTCTCAGAGTTGACCTTGAGATGCAACACTTGCATGTTAACTTCTGGTTTAATTGCTAGACAGTACTAGTATTCATCACAATCCACGTAAAACAAACAACTGACAGTACCAGCAAAAATATTAATTGTAGCTTCTTCTAAGCTCTAGCAATTGGACATTAGCAACTTTGGACACCTCACCAGATCTCATCACCTCTCCCAGTCATCGTTCTCTTTTTATATATGTCGATCATAACATAGCACTCCCTCCGTTTCACAATAAGTCATTCTAGCATTTTTCATATTCATATTGATGCTAATGAATATAGACATATATATCTATTTAGATTCATTAGCATCAATATAAATGTGGAAAATACTAGAATGACTTATATTATGAAACGGAGAAAGTAGCTATATATATAAAAGGAAAATCGTAAATCAAGGATATAGATTAATTAAAACATGAGAAAACGACAGGTAGTATTCCAGTACTCCTGTTTGTCTATTTGTTTATCCCATACGTGCATGTTAGTAGCCAACAGCAGGAGACCAGATGACACGTATAAACGCCGGAAGAGGCTATCCAACAACGACGAGATTAGGACTTTGTCGAGCATAGCAATTTACAACATCCATCAAACCGAGGATGTCTTAAGATAAGCATTATTCATGCATACAGCAGGTTGTGGCTAGAGACAAAGTATACGTCATGCCTGTGTAAATGCGAATGGGACCTCCGGTGGTTGTGGTTTCAGTCTGAGTCAGGTGGTGAGTGACATGTACTACAAACACCCATGCTCCCATGCAATGCATTTCGCAGCTTAATTATGATAGATGCAGAGTCCACAACGACATCCCTTAATCCCTTATATTGTTATTTTTCCCAGATTTTGTTTCCAATGTGGATGACAGAACAAAATCATGTTGGAGCGATGCTAGCAAACAAAAATAACATTGTTCGATCAGTCGACACACAAAAGACACAAAATTCTACCTCTTGCGTTGATTTTGTCTAGCTTGTGTAGACTACATTAGCGGAACGAGGACTCTGCCCTCATTTGCTGCAAAACCCTTTGAAATAGAGTACAATGGATCAGTGTTCTTACAGCCGTATGCGTGCTTGCACATGCCATTGTTGCCAAAACTCAGGCCTGGTTTAGTTCCCAAAATATTTTTCTCAAAAACATCACATTGAATCTTTGGACATATGCATGAAGCATTAAATATAGATAAAAATAAAAACTAATTGCACAGTTTAGATGGAAATCGCGAGACGAATCTTTTGAGCCTAATTAGTCCATGATTAGACATAAGTGTTGCAGTAACCCACATGTGCTAATGACAACTTAATTAGGCTCAAAAGATTCGTCTTGCGGTTTCCAGGCGAGTTATGAAATTAGTTTTTTTCATTCATGTCCAAAAACCCCTTCTAACATCTGGTCAAACATCCGATGTAACACTAAAAATTTTCTTTTTTGTGAACTAAACACACCCTAAGTTCACCAAGAATTTCAAGCATAAATATGAATGGTCATCACAATCAGAGAAGGCGGCGCCGACACCCTAAGTTGCCGACAGTGTTTTACCACTAAGCAAGTCAAGGAAAGTATAAACCCGTTGCCAACTCTTCCCTTTTCCAAGGTCAAAATAAACGTACCCCTCACATGCAAGTTCACTAGGCTAACTGGGTGATCACCCACATGACAGGCTAGGCTCTCGTTTATATCTTGTGCCTATGCACCAACCCACCTTATTTTGCAAACTTTTACTAACATCAGTATTTTCCTTTTTCCTCAATTCCTAGCGAGAGCATATGCAACAGACATGTTCTTTCCTCAACACGATGACTTGTTCCTATGAAGACACTTGCTATTGGATAGGGATCCAAGACACTATCATCTGGACCACTAATTATATTAGCTTCATGTTCTCTGAACAGTAGTTAAGATCTAGTCATACATCCGCATGTGCTCTAGGATCAGCTTCAGTATTCAGATTTTGGTCTATCCATCTATGTCACTGCCAACTGCCACATGTCAAGTACCTGACTTTCCAAGCTAAACATGCTTATTTCTCAATATTTTTCCTTACTATTTTACTACTAAATATAAATGACATGATTCTTCAATGAAACTTAGCTAATTGTTTCCCTAAAAAAAATACCTGAGCTAATTGCATGTCTTATGCTATCATTTGGTGCCGTGCATAATAAACCTGTCCACGAATGAACAACATGAAGTTCTTCACTATATCATCTCAAAAGGTAAATAAAATACTTCAGCACTGGATTTTAATCCTTATGATCCTAATACAGATGCGTAAGCATAGCAAAAATATAGCATATTGTTTAGTACATCACAAGTCATAATATTCAGGAGTATTTAAAAAAGCAGCTTACGTTCCCAGTGAAACAGCAGTAGAAGAGGCAAGTGATACCCTCATTGTCTCAGGATCCCAAATACCCATCCACGACATCAGGATCAAAATTCCCATTGCACGAAAATGTTCACCTAATTGAATGAAAAAACAGAAGCAAACTCATTACGTTGAAGCATATTAAGTATTAATGTACATAGCCACATTGGACAGACCAAAATGCGCAGTGGTATATCAGAATGATATGTAATTAATAATGGGATCGACAATCATTCCAAGTGAATAAACAACATGAATTCCTACGCAATAATGTGATGCAATGTAACTATATGAGCAGATACAAGTATCCTGTTTCAATATGATAAATGTATAGTTAAACTTCTGTGCTGAAGTGAGGTGTGCTATTCTACTCAGTGCTCTCATTTCCACCAGTGCTCTGAAAGTAAGCAAGAAAGAGAAGATGTTGTAGTGTTATTTTAAAGGAGTGAGAAGTTGGGCCTGGCTTGGTCATACAGATAATACTAATGAAACTAATTGAAAGTACTCCTTGAAAGTGACAAATGGTAAGAGTTTTACATGGTACAACACATGCACGATGATACTTACCAAAGAAAATGAGAACGAGTCAAAAGTGCACATGCTGCCATGTACCAACACAACCCTCACATATAAATTCTACATAACCTACATTGCTATCTTACAAAGAGGAAGTTCAAAGTGGTCCTATTCTGTTCCGATCAAAGAACATTAATCATAGCAATCTGATAAGGAGACGTGTACATACGGCAGTATGGATGTATTTAAGGAAGAAAATGAGTGGATAGCAGGATGGAAATATGTTGAGCTAACAAAGAGGTAGTCAGCAAAGAAACCGTAAGAGATTGATAAAATCTATACTGGACATATGTGCAGCTGCAGATGTTCCACTAGTTACCAAAATAATAAACTGAGAAGTTCTCAGTAAACAAATGAGTAAACCCCAAGGCATGAGATTCACCTTTTGTTACATCAACAACAGATTGTGTGAAAGATCATACCACTCTTATCAGCCTATTGGAAGATGTCACACCGATATTGCTTCAAACATCTTACAGATTACTCTCCCGGCTGCAACGTAGTTTCTGTATGTTCCTTGTTTTGATACCTAGCCTAAACATTGAACTTCCAGGTAGCTTTGTTTTTTTCAAGTGCAAATTACACTTTTCATCAACCCCTGAAGCTTTCCTTTTCATGTATTCAGCTGATTGTGCCTGAACTGTCATAGTACAAGTAGCTGTATTGGAAATTTATTTGAAACAAAAGGAAATAAGCACCGAATTTTGAAAAATCTAATAGAAGATTTAGTGCCTTGACTTGATCTATGTTCAGGGAATGCTACATCAATCCAACAGAATAATGAACACAATATGATAAAAAAAACATAGTCATACCTAATAACCTCGAGTATCTTATAGATGATGTTTAACAAAATAATTAACCAGATGCCCAGATGTTCCTTCAATTAAAATGAAAATAAAGACATAGTTGTACAGCCTATACTCAGGTTATGCTAATCCTTTTTCTACATAGAAAGATCATGATTTTCCATTGAAATACACTTATCTACTCTAAACATCTTGTTTAATAGTCAATTTAAAGTAAGACTGCAGTTTCCCGAGATGTAGTTTGAGTTTTTATGCCGATTCCATCACTTAACGTAAGAACATAGCAAGGTCTTACAGAAGTCCCCAGAGAGACAATAAAGGAGGCAGTTAGAGCACAAGAGTAGCATCTAAAGTGTTCTTTTAACCAGTCAACGCAGCATGTAATTTACATCATTTTATGGTATCACAAAACTCACCAGAACGCAGTGCGGATAATGACTTGGCCAAGTTTTGGAGTCCACTTATATCATTGATCTTATCTTTCTTCAGAATAGAATTGGTTGAGTCCAAGTATTCTGGGTGGTTGGGATCAATACGCACAAGAGCATTTGCAAAAGCCTAAAAGGTAAATACATATATAAGTAGAAAGAAACATGGCCACATGGTTTTAAACCCTAGAATCAGTGGTTTGCACATAAATAATGTTGAAGCACTATGATGCAGTCATTCAACAAAATGAATTACAGACAGATGATTAGATTGACACATTGGCATGGTTATGACCTAATCATAACTGCTAAAGGAGGCAGACAAAACAATGCCCTCCAGCGTGAGAGTGTTGTTCTACATAGTGATCTATGTTTATTTGTGCTATGTTTGTTCAGACAATACTACCAGTATGAACAGCAGGCAGTTATCAAACATCATCCATCACATTGTTCAGAACATATTTCCAAATGGCGATGCCTTTCCACTTGAAAAGGTCATTAGTCTAAATTCTGGTACAAAAGTAACATGTGACCCAAGGCAACATAGAATTAGTATTAGCTAGGAGGTGTCATCAGTTCTGTTTCAATGCTGACTAATAAAAGAATTAAGTGGAGGTACAGCAGAACTGAAAGGAAAGTACCTTGGAAGCAATGGTGTAAAAACCATTATCAAGAGAGTCCTTTGCAAAAGTTAGCCATTCTTCATTGGATACTTGCAAATGAAGGTCATCGGAGTATTCGGCTTGTCTCAGGAGCAGAGCTTCATATCTCATAGCAAGGCAACTCTAGTGAATGACAGAAATTAGCAGAATTAGTGAAGTAGTGGCAGAAAAAAAAAAGTTGCAACACCGCTAGTTTAGTACGGTACGGTAGCATGTGCAGAATGTGTATTTGCACGAGGAGAATGAATAATTATAAGGGCATCGACATATGATGCGAATTGGATTGAACATACAGAACTGGAGCACCCGATGTGCATCGCAATCGAAACCCAGTTAGGTGTAGAATGAAGAGCAAACAAAACTAGTGGATATGTGCACATGATTAATGGCCCCACAATCCTGGCCACAGGCGCTGAGGCAAGTCATCGGTGAGTGAGGACCTCGACATCTCCGGCGAGGGCGAAGGCGCGCGCGAAGAAGTCGGCCGTGGAGAGGGTGGTACCCAAATCGGGGACGGAGGAGAATGCCTGGGCGGCGGCCTTGCGCAGCAGACAGCGGGCGGATGAGCGAGTGTGGAGCAGCGAGGGGACGTCGGCGCCGGCGGAAAGCGCGGCGTCGAGTAGGCGGAGCTCCTGGTCCCCAAACCTGAGCAGCGCGAGGAGAATCAGAATGGAGCGGTTGTAGAAGACTGAAATCCAAGTTGGTGGATCGTAGAGGAAGAAGGGTGTGTGGTTACCTGCGGTGGGAGAGGGCGGAGGCGAAGAGGGAGAGGAGGTGCTCGTCCCCATCCCCGGCGGCGGCGGCCATGGCTTGCCTCCCTCTCTGCTCGACGAAGGCGAAGGCGAAGGCGACGGCGACGGCGATTCCCAGAGAATGGATGGAATTGGATTGGATTTTGTATTTGGGCCTAGGCCCACTAACGAACTCGCTTCCAACGAAGCCCAGCAGAACTTTTGTCCGTTTTCTTTTTTTCTTTAAAATGAAAACGTTAGCTCGTTCTAGAAGTATATACTATATAGAAAAAGAATACGAGCAAAGCAGGAGTCTCGATGAATCAATTTTGTCAAGAGACAAATGCGCTGTTAAAAGGAGAAAAGATGGTTTTGTCACTATAGGAGCCAAGTAAACATATGGTTGCAATGCAAGGAAGAGGGTACCGTGTATATGTGGCTCTGTGCAACACATGAATACTGACGAAGACAGATAAGTATGTAAAAAGGTGGAAAAAAAAAGAAGATGATAATTGTGGTGGAGAGAAATAGGGCAATCTGGTCCAGAGCGGGCGTGAGGCCTCCACACGCCTCCAAATGACTTTTTTGTGTAGGATATCGACACCGCATCTCCACAGTCCACACTGTGCACGCCATTCTTATCTTGTCTAGCTTCATCTAGCTCCTCCTCGATATCCCCCTTGTCTTCTCTGCTGACCAATCATCAGAGGAAGGAGAGAAATTTGCCAGCATGCATTGCATCTAGACGTATAAATTTGTGTGGAATTTTGTACAACTCATCGCAATCAACTTGGAAGGAAAGCAATAAACACACAAACTCCACCAAACCAAGTATAAGCTGATGACGAAATTAACAAGACTAACCGATCCATCAGAGACAATCCGGGAAGGAATAGTGGTTAAGCTTGACCGACTCCGGTGCGGCCGGGCCGGGCTCCACATCAACCAACCACAAGCCCAAAATATCCTCTCCAGCCACGAGCCCGCCACGCGCTCCCTCGCCTTCGTCCCATCTCGACCGTCCACGTGTGGCCCATCCGTGAGCTCCACGCGCCTATATCTATCCCTTTCTATCACCTCCACCCCTACCACCGCACAATCTCATCACTCTTCACCCGCCGCGCCGCGAACTCCGGAACCGAACGCCACACGCGCCTTCCTCTCACTTAATCCGCCATGCTTCCTCCTAGGGTTGCCCCCTCCTCTCTGGCCGCCGCCGCCGCCGCGGCGCCTACCTATCTCGCCGCCGCGGCCTCGACCCCTGCTTCCGTCTGGCTGCCTGTGCCGCGTGGAGCCGGAGCCGTGGCAGTGTGCAGGGCCGCCGGGAAAGGGAAGGAGGTGCTCAGCGGCGTGGTCTTCCAGCCATTCGAGGAGCTCAAGGGGGAGCTCTCCCTCGTCCCCCAGGCCAAGGACCAGTCTCTTGCTAGGCAAAAGTTCGTCGACGAGTGCGAGGCCGCCATCAGCGAGCAGATCAAGTCTGTTTTCCTCCTCCTCCTCACTCTGCCTTCCATTTTTGAATTTCTATTCCCCTTTCATGTGCGCATTTCTTCTGCTTCTTCTTTTTTAAAATTTAACAAAAATCTCTGTGCCTCCTGGTCATTTTATTTTCTTTGTTAGTGATTGGATTTCGTAAAGGGTTCATTTTTCATCCTATAATAATTTCTGCTCTTGGGATGCGTCTGTTCTACAGTGCTGCAGATTTTCCCAAACATTTTTTTTACATGGACCAACGGATACAAAATTATTTTAGTCCACAATAATTGATGTAAATAGGAGAAAAGACACTTGTGCTTAGCTAAATTTAGACCCTGTTTAGATGGGACTAAAACCTCTTTAGTCCGATGTTTGGACACTAATTATAAATATTAAACGCGGACTATTAATAAAACCCATTCTATAACCTGAATTAATTCGCGAGACGAATCTATTGAGTCTAATTAATCCATGATTAGCCTATGTCATGCTACAGTAAACATGCGCTAATTATGGATTAATTAGGCTTAAAAAAATTTGTCACGCGAATTAGCTCTCATTTATGTAATTAGTTTTATAAGTAGTCTATTTTCAATACTCCAAATTCATCCGATATGAAGTCCCTGTTCCAAACACCCCCTTAGCTTGTCATCCGTAGTTATATTCCGAATTGGAATTCAATCCTAAAAAATAGTTCAATCTTTGCAGTGTGGAGTTCAATGCATCGTACGCGTACCACTCCCTTTTCGCCTACTTTGACCGTGACAACGTTGCTCTCAAGGGATTCGCCAAGTAAGCCATCACCACCCCTCATTAGCCATCACCAAGTAGGAAAATTGTCACCCATGTATCGATAAATTCTGTTCCTTCAGATTCTTCAAAGAATCCAGCGATGAGGAGAGGGATCACGCAGAGAAACTCATGAAGTACCAGGTAACTTTACCTCTGCTTCGTTTGGCACACCAGGAAAACTGTAGGCTGTACCACTATAATCATGCGCCCAAATGCTAAAACTGCCATGTTCTTCTTTGTCAGAACATGCGTGGAGGCAGGGTGCGGCTCCAGTCCATCGTCACACCCTTGACAGAGTTCGACCATCCTGAGAAAGGGGATGCCTTGTATGGTGAGTTGCTTTCAGCTTGTCCTATTATCTCTTATGTTTTTTATTCCATGGTATATGTACTTGTGCTTCTGCTTACGCCTTACTGTGTGCTAGTCTGAGTGTCTGTTAATTATTATCTATGTGAAAATTTAAGTGGTTGGATCCTTAAGGTTGGGAGGAGCCCTTTTTTTGGCAAGAACAGGGGAACTTCCTTGGTGAATGAGCTCATTCGCCATCCAGATTCAGCAAGGATACTTTCCTCTTCAAAAGTTCCATGTTGAATCCTGATGTCAATTACTCTCCGTTTTTTAATGTATGACGCGGTTAACTTTTTGAGATACGTTTAACCATTCGTCTTATTCAAAAAATATATATAATTATTATTTATTTTATTGTGACTTAATTTATCATCAAATGTTCTTTAAGCGTGATTTAAATATTTTTATATTTGCAAAAAAAATTGAATAAGGTTAAACGTTAATTAAAAAGTCAACGGCGTCATACATTATAAAACGAAGGGAGTAACTTTCAATAAAGGCTACTTTGTTTTGTAAAAGCTTTCTTTTAAACATTTTGGACTGCACAGAAAAGATTCTCTAAATTCTAAACGCTCCTAAAGGAGAAAACGTCATTGTATATTTTCCATCATTTCACCTTATGGCATTTGCTAGTGTCTCCAGAAAGTAGCATGCACTGGCTGTTTGTTGCTGTACATACCTGTACAAACTTTGTGTTCCCCTATGTTTTACCCTCTAGCTTGCTTGTGATTTCAGCTATGGAGTTGGCCTTGGCTCTCGAAAAGCTTGTAAATGAGAAGTTGCACAACCTGCACAGTGTAAGATATTCTCCTGTTATGCAGTTATGCAGTAATGCTGAACATGGATTTAGAATGCGTTGTATAATTCTCAACACTATTTTGAAAAGAAATATATGGTGAAACTTGAAAATGTGTTGCCGTGAATCAACAGGTGGCATCAAGGTGCAATGATCCACAGCTGACCGACTTCGTTGAGAGTGAATTCCTTGAGGAGCAGGTAAAAAACCTTCTGCCCACTTGGGTACTGAACTAGCTCTTGAGATGTTAATATTCAACTGCTATGCTTTAGTGAATTATGTTTTGCTGAAAATATCTGCCTTGCTCTGAAAGGTTGAAGCCATCAAGAAGATCTCTGAGTATGTCGCCCAGCTGAGAAGAGTGGGAAAGGGGCATGGTTAGTGTGTTTTGTCAGAAAATACTTCATTTGATGTACTACCATCTATCTATAGACCTGTGGTTTGACTCATCAGTTGTTGTTTGCTACGTAATTTGTGTTGCAGGGGTGTGGCACTTTGATCAGAAGCTGCTTGAGGAAGAAGCTTGAATGGAGGAGACGGTGTGAAGGGCAGTAGTAGGTTTCGTTTCTTCCATCCATGGGATCATGCAGCTAAAGAAAGAAAATAAGTCGAGTCTGTGTATTCATCAAATTAAGCACGCAGTAGCAATGGAGTGAATGAACCAACCAATTTGGTCATGAACTTCCCCCTGTGTCTAGGTCAGTAGAGCTTCAGAATCATGTGTATGTCGCGCGTCCTCGCAGAAAAGGAACATGGCGCGGCTGGCTGTAGCGATACTTGTGATATTGTGGCTATGCATGGAGTCATGGTGATGGTGTATTTTGGGGAGCATTTACACGTTTGTTGCTAGAGAGATTTTGCTGGCAGCCAGTAAGGAACAGTATGATAATCCATTGTGGTGTTAATGCTTGTTTCATCGTGCTTATGTCATGTTCCTAGTAGTTTATGTTAGTAACTCGAAGCCTGGCAAGTTTTTATGCATATATGTCCCTTTGCTTTGCTGCCTCTGAAAGAACAGACAAAAGAAAAGGAGAGAGAAAAAGAAGAGGATGGGCCCATCAAGAATAATTGGGCCTTAAGTGACAGCTTATGTTTGAGTTTGAGCCCACCTTTGCTGGCGTGGTGAGGCTCCACATTATAACACGTCTATATCTCTGCTATTATAAAAACGGAAGATGTTTTTATCTGTATTTTAGCACGTTATTTATGTTTGAGTCGGTTTTTAAGTTTTTTTCTTGGAAATGCAGATCCGTGTTTGAGTTGGTTTTTATGTCCGTTCGCTTTTAGAAATGCAGAATGAATCGTATGAGAAATCTCTTTTAAAAAAACTCGTATGGTAACGAACTCCTAATTGCAACTCATGATTTTGTAAAATAAAATATCCAGGCGAATTCCCACGGTGAATTTCACCATAGCTAAACCGTATAACAATAATAAGATTAAAATAGACTATGCAGTTGCAACGCACATGCATTTTTTTAGTCTCTAAAACTTGCAAACCGGGTCATGTTAACATATCTCTAATCTTGCAAAACCAGGTCACATTAGATATAGCATTGAGGGTGGTTTTGGCTGACGCGACACTAAAAGGGAAAAATAAAAAATAAAACTCACGTGGGATCCACATGTCAGTGAAACAAATATTCTTCCTTATCTCTCTCCCCATCCTTCGGTCTCGGCGATGGCAGAAGTAGTGGAGGCACGGACAATCGGGGGAGTGAGGAGATTGTGACCGACATGCGGCGCGCTCGATAGCAGTGGCACACCTCGTCACCTACAAGCCGGGCGTCGACGCCGCCCACTTGTCTCATGACGGACTGGAAGGGTGGTGACCGACAAAGAAAGGATTGACCTAATACAGGAAAGACACGCAACAAGCGACATGTAAAAGCTCGACGCTGACAATCCAAATCAAGCAAAAAGTATAGCAGTATGTTGAGCACCCAACATTGATCCTCATCGGCACCTTCCTCTGCAATGAAGATATCGAGCACGAGGTGGTCCCAGATAAGGAACAATATGGGCTCGTTCTATGTGATGTTAGAATGCCCGCATAGGTTGTCGTTGTCGTCGCCGCTACCGCCGCTGCCGAACCACAACGAGGAGATGTGGAGAAGCCAGTCGACATCCTTTGAGGACGGTGTCGAGCATCACCAGGGTGCGGGAGAGAGATGGAGAGAAAAAAAGAGGAGGAGGAGGAAGGAGAGGAGAGGGAGAGAAGGGAGGAGAGAATTATATGTGGGGCTGTATTTTGTTTTTGCCATGCAAGTGTCTAGTCAGCGTAAGTGGACCGAGTCAATTTATCACGTCAACGGAGCCAATCCATACATACTGCGGTTTTTGCAAGACCAAAGATGCTATATTTGGGTTTATTGTTAAGGGATGTATTTTAAACTCAACGATAAGATGAGATGAGAGACGTGAAGTGGACTTTTTTCCAAGACTCCTCTTGTGTCTTTCGAGATGGTTCCATGGCCGGCTGTGTTTAGTTTCTAAAATTGGGGAGAAGTTAGGGAAACGTTGGTAATTTTGAAAAAAAATTGAAAATTTATGTGTGTAGAAAAGTTTTGGATGTGATGTGATACGATGAAAAGTTGAGAGTTGAGAGAAGTTTGGTGTGAACAAAAAAGGCCGGAGTTGATGTGCAAATAGAGAGAAGCATATGCTCATGGCGCCAACGCAGGAAAGCACTCATGCTTTGCTTTGCCTTTCGTTTCTTTCACTGCCAACTGGGCCCCACCCCCACATCTTTCATCTCGTCTCAAACTCAAACAACTCCCCTTCTCCACCTCCTCTTATCAGACGCACAAGCGAAGCGGCCACAATTTACAAATTAGCCCTTCTTCTTCTTTCCTCCTCAAAACCCTAGATAGAGTATACAAGGGAAGCGAAGGAAGAACCAAGTCGATCCACGAATAGGGAGACGAATCCAAGGTAGAAGGTGAGTTCCTCCAGTCCATCGCCCAACTCCCTCATCTCTTGGTGCGGTGCTCCCTCCCGTCTCACGCCCAGCCGGTCGGGTGTGTAGGTCTCGCCGTGGTTGCGTCCTGGATCTGACGCGGCAGCTCTCGCCGGCTGCCTTCAGCCTCGTCCTCGCGGTGACCGTCGCTGTCGGCCTCCTCGGCGGCGCCCTACACTATATGCTTACCCGCAAGCGGGAGGATCTCGCCGGCGAGGTCGTCCACGACTTGCACAAGAAGACCCGCGCCGACGACGAACCCGCCGACGACAACCACACCATGACCACCGGCAGAGCGCCCGAGATCGATGAGGACCTTCACAGCCGCCAGCTCGCCGTCTATGGCCGCGAGACCATGAAGCGCCTCTTCGCCTCCAACGTCCTCGTCTCTGGCCTCAACGGCCTCGGCGCCGAGATCGGTACGCCTTAATTAGCTTCCCAAAGCCCCTCATCTACTCTACATACAGATCGACCTTATTGAGTAAAGGGGCAACTTGTCTTCAATTACCACTTTCCTGCCACAATCGATCTTATCTATTATAGACCCGTAGACAGTTATCGATATCACTTGTGCACAAGTTGATCTTTCGCTACTCATTATTATCAAATTTTATCTCAATGCGTGCTTTACGATCTCCATGCTGGGTTACTGCCCTCAGTTCCGCAAGTTCTACATCTTGTTACTAGAAATATGAAGCGTGGTAGCGTGTGCTTCCTATTAACTGATTCTTCAATTTTAAGATTTGTAAACAATGATTATAGGAGCAGCTCAAATTGTCAAACACATTGACGCTCTTGACTCTTGAGTCCATTCTTTGAACCAGAGTTTAAACTTTTCCCAGTTGTGCTGGGGTGCTCTTACCCCCTTATTACATTTTAGGAGCTTGCATCATACAACAAATCTGTGTTAGTTCTGGTCAGTCCCCTGTGCTATGCAATAAGCTAAGATGCTTGAGACTTGGCATATAATGCTTAACCACTCAGAATGCAATGTCTACCTTGTGAAATTGGGAGACCTTTTGAGGATTCAAATCACATGATTGTACAAGTTTTTGGCTTTGCCTTTTTCATACTTTCAGATATGCTGTTGAAATTTACTTAATGCCAATGTCTTCCTGCAGCCAAGAACCTTGTCCTTGCGGGTGTCAAGTCCGTAACCTTGCACGATGATGACAATGTGGAGCTATGGGACTTATCAAGCAACTTCTTCCTCACAGAGAAGGATGTTGGTCAAAACCGTGCTCAAACTTGTGTTCAGAAGCTACAGGAGCTCAATAATGCTGTTATTATCTCTACTATAACCGGTGATTTGACTAAGGAGCAGCTTTCTAATTTCCAGGTATGTGAGCATGCAGTTGATTTGTGATCTCCTTCCTTGCTGTTTGTTTCTTCTACTTCATCGTGTATGCCTGTTAATCTTAGATTTCAAGTAGTCGTTTCACTTGTACTTCAGTCCATGTGAGCTGCAAGTCTGTGACTACAGGCTGTGCATCTTTTATTTGATCTTAGTCTAGGAATTGTTGCTACTCTTCATAGAAAGTATGGAAATTCTTTATAGGCAATACAGTGCGGTTTCACAATTTACTAAATATATGTTTGAATGAAGAAATAAAGTCAACAATTATGTATAAGGAAGTGCACAATCAAGGTATGCAAAATAGTATTTACACACCAAATTTCATGGAGTTTAGGATTAACTATGCATGTGTATCACTACTAGCTTCCTCAAATTCCTCTTCTGCTTGATATTTGGAATAGCATAAAGGTTCGTTGCATTCATTAGGCCTTCAGCCCTCAGGTTTCTGTGGTATTATCGCCTTTTTCCTTTGATTGCTTGATTTTTGTCAAAGAAACATCTTTTACATTCATTGGAACTCCATATTTAATATTTAGCAACAGTGCAACACATACTATTTAAACTTAGTGAATTTGGTCTTAGTAGTTAGTGTTATCATCGTATTCCCACACAATAGCTCTATTAAATTTGTGCCAATTACTGATAAGAAAAATTAAGAGTAAAGCTGTAGTAGTTCCACATCATCTCAGTAGACTACAGAGACAATCGTGTGAGTCTGCTTTAATTTTGTGGCATGGCAGTAAATCCTTCATACTAATATGGCCTGCAAAAGGTCTGTAGTAGTTCAAGATAATATTTCAGAGCCATCTTTCTGTTTTGAGCAATGACTGTCTCTTTGTATTGCATATTTTCTTATTCTTGGAATAACCATTTCCATGTGAACATACAGGCTGTGGTCTTTACTGATATCAGCTTAGAGAAAGCAGTTGAGTTTGACAGTTACTGCCACAACCATCAGCCACCAATTGCTTTCATTAAGTCAGAAATTCGTGGCCTTTTTGGCAGTGTCTTTTGTGACTTTGGTCCTGAGTTTACTGTATTGGATGTTGATGGAGAGGAGCCACATACAGGAATAGTAGCATCGATCAGCAATGACAACCCTGCGCTTGTTTCCTGTGTTGATGATGAGCGTCTGGAGTTCCAGGATGGTGATTTAGTTGTGTTCTCAGAAGTCCATGGAATGAGTGAACTAAATGATGGGAAACCAAGAAAGATTAAGAACGCTAGGCCTTATTCTTTTACTCTAGAAGAAGACACTACCTCATATGGGACATATGTTAGAGGTGGTATTGTTACTCAGGTCAAGCCACCAAAGGTTCTTAAATTCAAAACCTTGAAAGACGCCATTAAGGAACCAGGAGAATTTCTCATGAGCGATTTCTCCAAATTCGACCGTCCACCACTTCTGCATTTGGCTTTCCAAGCTTCTGCATCATTTTGCAAGTGGTTCCAGGGCTGTTCTGAACCCTATGGCTGCAATGTTTGGTGGCATTGTAGGTCAAGAGGTTGTGAAAGCATGCTCAGGGAAATTCCATCCACTTTACCAGGTTATAATCTGTTTCCTTCATTATAATAACGTAAATCCCTTTTTTTATCTGCACTCTTCATGTAAACATTAATGTAATTTTCCTGGTTTTGCAGTTCTTCTATTTTGATTCTGTTGAATCTCTCCCTGTTGAACCATTGGAGCCAGCCGAGTTGAAGCCAGAGAATACTAGATATGATGCACAAATCAGTGTTTTTGGATCTAACCTTCAAAAGAAACTTGAGCAGGCGAAAATATTTATGGTTGGTTCTGGGGCGCTTGGATGTGAATTCTTGAAAAACCTAGCACTAATGGGCATTTCTTGCAATCAGAATGGAAAGCTGACAGTGACAGATGATGATGTTATTGAAAAGAGCAATCTCAGTCGCCAGTTTCTCTTCCGTGACTGGAACATTGGTCAGCCCAAGTCCACGGTTGCTGCTACTGCTGCTATGGCAATTAATCCTAAGCTTCATGTCGAGGCCCTTCAGAACAGAGCAAGTCCTGAGACTGAAAATGTGTTCAACGATGCCTTTTGGGAGAGCCTGGATGCTGTTGTCAATGCGTTGGACAATGTTACCGCAAGAATGTATATTGACTCCCGATGTGTATATTTCCAGAAGCCACTCTTGGAATCTGGGACTCTGGGTGCTAAATGTAACACACAGATGGTCATACCTCACCTAACAGAGAACTATGGCGCATCCAGAGATCCACCTGAAAAGCAGGCGCCGATGTGTACTGTACATTCATTTCCTCATAATATTGATCATTGCCTAACCTGGGCTAGGTCTGAGTTTGAGGGTTTGCTTGAGAAGACCCCCACTGAAGTAAATGCCTTCCTATCGAATCCTGGTGGATATGCAACTGTAGCAAGAACTGCTGGTGATGCACAGGCTAGGGATCAGCTTGAGCGCGTTATTGAATGTCTCGAGAGAGAGAAGTGTGAGACATTCCAAGATTGTATTACCTGGGCCCGGCTCAAGTAAGTTAGCACATCTCTTGAGCACCTTTAGCTTATTACGCATAGGGGGTGAAGCTGTGTACATCTGCTTGAATTTCATTATTGCAATATGCAAGAATATTCCAAAATTTAAATTTTGCAACTAAAGCATTTGCTTTTTGATTGTTGTTTGCATTTTGCAGCAACTGACATACACTTTGCATTTTGTTTGTATTGATTGTTCATCTTAGGTTTGAGGATTATTTCTCCAACCGTGTGAAGCAACTGACATACACTTTCCCTGAAGATGCGATGACCAGCTCTGGTGCTCCTTTCTGGTCTGCTCCAAAGCGTTTCCCACGACCACTGGAGTTCTTGACATCTGATCCAAGCCAGCTTAACTTTATTTTGGCTGCTGCAATTTTAAGGGCAGAGACATTTGGGATACCCATACCTGACTGGGTCAAAAACCCAGCAAAGATGGCTGAAGCTGTTGACAAGGTGATTGTTCCTGATTTCCAACCAAAACAGGGGGTTAAGATAGTTACAGATGAGAAGGCTACTAGTCTTTCGTCTGCATCTGTTGATGATGCTGCTGTCATTGAAGAGCTTATTGCAAAGTTAGAAGCAATTTCCAAAACACTGCAACCAGGATTCCAGATGAAACCAATCCAGTTTGAGAAGGTTAGTTTCAATTTTTTTCCCTGATAAGTTCGAGAGAGTAAATGTGATTTTGTTTTCCTTAGCTTTTCCTTTGTAGCCAATCATGCACCTCTAGGATGAACACCCTTATGACCCTAAAGAGTTTCACAAATTGTGTTAGCTTTGAGAGTTGGTTTTCTAAGCCGCATTCATGTACGTGCAGGATGATGACACCAATTACCATATGGACGTGATAGCTGGTTTTGCTAACATGCGGGCAAGGAACTATAGCATTCCTGAAGTGGACAAGCTGAAGGCGAAGTTCATAGCTGGCAGGATCATCCCTGCCATTGCCACCTCAACTGCGATGGCTACTGGTCTTGTCTGCTTGGAACTGTACAAGGTACTCGGTGGTGGGCACAAGGTTGAAGACTACAGGAACACATTTGCAAACCTTGCAATCCCCCTCTTCTCTATGGCTGAGCCGGTCCCTCCCAAGACCATCAAGCACCAGGACATGGCCTGGACTGTTTGGGACCGCTGGACCATAACTGGCAACATCACGCTGAGGGAGCTTCTGGACTGGCTCAAGGAGAAGGGCCTGAATGCATACAGCATATCTTGCGGCACCTCGCTGCTGTACAACTCAATGTTCCCGAGGCACAAGGAGCGTCTAGACAAGAAGGTGGTCGATGTGGCGAGGGAGGTGGCAAAGGTGGAGGTGCCCCCATACCGGCGCCATCTTGACGTGGTGGTGGCTTGTGAGGACGATGATGACAACGACGTTGACATCCCACTGGTATCAATCTACTTCCGGTGAAGTAGGGGCTGTCACTCCGTTGACATGGCGTTGGATTTGGTCTTTTCAGAGAGACGATGTATAAGTTGCACCGGTGCCTGTAAACTAAGTGGGGGTTTAAGCCACATTACTGATTTTATTTTGCTACCATCTTGATAGAGCTCGTTCAGATGGGTGGTTTGTTACCATCCCCGAAACTTGATACGATACCATCATATTGATAATTGATGCATGATGATACCGTACGACTGAATTAGATATGGCATATGCCCTGTTTGCGACTCGTATGATGAACAGCAATTTAGTGTCTGTTTTCGTGAATCTGATCTTTTGATCGGTCGAACCTTGTGCACTTTTCGGTGGGTATGGCACCACCAAGTTACTTGTGAAATCTTTTGCTTCTCTGATGACCTGAATATCCATTTTGAGAAAACATTAGAAGCTCCAAGATAAAATAGTTTAGTGCTGATGTGCATCCATGATCCATTGTCTCTAGAGAGCAATATACAAAAAGATTGGAGCACATGCTTGGAATGTGCATTCAATATGAGAATGAGAATGCACGGCGTGGCCACATGGGTTCGTTACCTCTGAACGTGACCTTGTCCAGCTTGATTGTCGTCTGCATGTTGCGGAATTCGTTGGATCATGCAGCTGCTCCTCCTGCTCTTGCAATATACACTACCATATCATCTTCATCACAGCTACACCATAATGTAGCAAACGGCCCAATTTTAGCTGCCAATTATCTTGGAGTGCTTCTAATTTGCACCATGTACAGGACCAAAAAAAAGGAAAGAGAAAAAGACAGAGACTTGCAACATCAGAAAGAGTACATCACATCTGTAAGAGAAGGACCTAGTTGTAAATAGCAAAACGTTAAGGGGGTGTTGCGAGAATCGAACTCACGACCTCTCGCACCCGAAGCGAGAATCATACCACTAGACCAAACACCCTTTGGTGATAGACGTTTTATCATCTCTTTTGTTAAACCAATTTTCACACAAATGGTGACAGAGAAAATGTGCTAGTCCAGAAATAATTTCAGCATTTGTTTTGATAAACTAGTGATTATGGAACATGCAGAATTTAATTCTGCACATATACTGGGCATCATGGCCCGCCTTGCATGATTGAAGTAGCCTAACCTGCGAGCATGCTACCATGATTCATGAAAGGTACGAATACCAACTAAATCTAGTTTTCCTATGAATATAAAGCTTTCTTCTATGTTTTTTCCTCAAGTATTGGATGGTACAATCTGCAATCTTTCTTTAGAAAAAGCAAGTGGAAATTGTACACGAACGATCGAGTAGGTAATTGCTAGGACTAATGGAGTTAGCAGCTGTCTGAAAAGAAATTCAGAAGTTAACTGACCACTTCCATTTTCATCTCAACATCCTTTTGTCTTTTGGAGCATTTTGATCAGTAAAGGTAATATAAGTTGCAGATGAGGAGGCGAGGAGCCTGCCTGTTTCATATGCTTTGAAGCTGTCACTGTCTCGATGTCTTGTGAAGATTTCTTTGTGCTTTCTTAAGTTGACTCACTCCCATTGACGATCGACTCAAACATAAAAACATGCCAATAGAAGCACAACAAGTAGCTAATCATTAAACACAATAAGATGGTTAATCAGCCTCAGTCGCATCAAAGGTAGATGCCTTGTCAATTCTCTGCTTTGATTTAATCAGCTGTATAAGGTGTGTGAGGTGTGCAATGCAACTTGTGAAGCTCTTCTCTACCACCTTTTGTTTTGTATCAATGAATATAACCTGTGGGAGGCTGGTTTGACCTACTAACGCACGCCTTGTGCAAATGTTGAGAAATGTTCAAATGTGAAAGCTTCCACAAACTTTGTTGGTGAGAATTATTCCACATAAGAAGGTAAGAAGGATGAAATCATATAAAAAAGAAAAAAGCTTTGGATTATTTTTTTTACGATTACACGATAGACAAAAGGGCATGTAGCCTAGTGGTTGCAGAGACTTGAGTAGTACCCCAAGGTTTTGGCTTCAAATATTCATAGGAGCGAATTTCAGAGATTGGGTTCGTTGCGGGGCTAAATTCCCTATTTCAATGGCCGTATATATCCAGTTGGATGTGGAGGCCGGGTAAAAAATACCATTATCTAAAAAAAAAAGATAGACACACACACAACACGCGATATCACACTCACACATCCACGAATACATCGCCTAACACACACTCAAAGATACGAAAACCAGCGACACGTTCCTGTCTTCCTCATATTTACTAAATTTATGTTAAAAGTTCACTTACATATACGTAATATTCGTGGGCACTAGGATTTGAAACCTGATACATAGAGTCATGCACCTACGACTCCACCACCACAACACTGGTGCTTTTTAAAAAAACCTTTGCATTAATGAAACCTTGAAGAGTTGGAAGTGCGTTTGCTATTTACTACAATAACCATGGCTACTGCTATTAGGACAACTACATCCTCTTATCGATATATAATGGCTAGCTGGTTAGTAGGAAGCAGCAAGCCATATACATAGCCAAGATAGGAGGACACCAACCAAGTTGCCATTGCCATGCGAGTAGATAAGCTGCGAACTGCCTGATAATTAAACTATCCCGATCGACATAAAATGAACTTTAAATAAAGCAGAACTAGTAACAAATGGTTATGTGCCCAACAGAAGTTCATTTTCTGCACACCATAAGCTGGCTTTAAAACAAAATCTGCCGTTGCCATATCTAACCTGCACACTAGTAGTATAATACTAATACTGGAGTACTTGGCAGGCAGGGCTACTACTGCAGAAGGGCAGACATTCGGCTCCAATCGATACACAAAAGTAGACAAGGATATGCCGCGTCTTCCTTTTTGTTAACTCAAGACTCGTGGTGTGGAAAGCTTTACAGGTGAGGTGCTCGAAAATCCAAGCTGCCTGCAAGTTTTCTTTGTTCGCATGTGTCTCCAGAGACCATTTCGATTATTCCTGAGACGTTGCTTCTTGCTTGTGCTTGGCTCTCCTCTCTGGAAGCTCAAGACTTTGTGTGCTTGTCTCTTATCTTTTTTCCAACTGCATACCGGCCAAGAGAAGAGAGCCAGGAGAAATGCCAAACTGGAAGTTACTACTCCTACTACTATAGAGTGGATTGGAATTGGATTCCTCTCTTTACAGGTACCATCCTTGGCTTTTTTTTCTTGTCGATTTCCTTTGTAACTACCTCTGTACACTTTTGGTACTTGCAAAACAGATTTATGACAGTGTCCGGTTCCTTGTTTGCTCAGTTCATTCGACTCTTTGCATAATACTCTCTTGTTTCACTTATTTACCATTTCTTTTTTGTAATTCTTAAGATCAAGATTTCAATCTTTGAGGGAAGACGATGCTTCTTTACATGGTAATACCTGTCTTGAGGTGGTATGGAATCATCAATCATGTGTGCTTTCACAATCCTAAAGATTTGAGCTTTCTGGACAAACTAGCTGTCTAGCCCCATCTCCACACTCCATAGGTAAAATTCCGAATCATTTCCCCTCCTAACAGTGTTTTTCCCGTAATCACCGTATTGTTCTTACTTACCTTTAACATTCTGCACAAGAAACAAGAGGTTCGAGCTCTTCCAAAAATTTAGATCGGGACAGAAATGGAGCCATGGGCCATTAGAGTGGCCTACTTCATAGTGTTCTCCTTTCTTGTCACTGCAAGATTTGGGTCCTGTGCTCCCCACAGTGAAGAAGGTGAGATGTTCTTTTGATTGCTAAAGATTGAACTGAAAGGGGCTAATAGAATGGTTGCTTCAAGTGGATTTGGATTGCAACAACCTGAACATATGTAAGTTTGTGCTTTAGGGAGAGCTCTTCCGGGTTATAGAGAGAGTGAGCAAGACCAATCAATTGGCTCTTTGTCAAATTGGGGAGAAGGGAAGCTCATTGGCAGAGTGTTCAACTTGTAAGTTATGCTTTAATGCAATCTTTCCTCTTCTACCAAACTGAAACATGGATCCAAATTATTTATTGCTCTTGAATATGTCTTTCATGTTAGATATTTATTGCTGGGGATGCATTACATATTAACATAGCTCTTTTTCAAGGGGAAATTTTCTTGATGTCCTACTTTCATCACATTTAGATTTATCTACTCTCCAATTTCTGTTCAAAATAGGTGAATGACTTTGGTTATTGTAATTCGGTCGAAAATGCTTCCAAAGTGATGCAAGTACAGATCATTGTACTTCATGTTAATAGTTATATAAGATACATTAGAAGTTATATAGGTCATCACATGTTGGCTGCTGCACTGTAAATATAGGATGCTTTACAATGAATAACAACATTTTAATGGAGCTTTAGTCTTTCTGATGTACTATGTAATCTTAAGCACTATGATGATCTCTGCAGATTACTCAAAGAGAACATGTTTGCCAGTGAAACACCATCTGAATCGAAAGAGCATAGCTCAATTTCAGAGTCTGTACCTCATGACAGTGCAGGATTTGAACCATGCAGAAAATGTTTAGCAAAGTGAGGCTTCTTTGTGGCTATAAATGTTTATTTTCTTGATAGATTATCCGTTATCAAATTTAATTTGCAAATATACTAGTCATTTGGTGAATCAATTTTCCGAGAACATTTTTTTCTAACACATTATGTTCTCTCTCTCTCTCTCTCTTTTTTTGGTAGAACTGTTCACAATGCCACACCAAGGCGACTTCTGCAAGCCAGGGAGCTGGCTTCTAATCAAACACAAACACACCCCAAAAGCCAATCATCTCCAGTTCAATCATCAGCATCACACCTGGTACCTCGTTGGGCTATTTACGCATTGCCTGTTGCTGGAGTCCTTTTCATTGCAGCAGTAGCTACTGCCATATATGTATTCTTCTCCCGTAGAAAGAAGGATAATACTGTCATGCCATGGGCTACAGGGCTGAGTGGACAGCTAAAGAAGGCATTTGTAACAGGTTGGTTTTTCTGTTCCATCATCATCTTACCAATGCAGAAGTTAAGACTATTTCATGGTTAAATGAACTTGTCAGTTTCTGTAGAAATTTGTTTTCTGCAATAGTAAAACTACAGAAGTCACAAATCCATGATACATCAAGCCAGAGAGCGCCTGATGCATTTTACTGATATTCAGTATACTAAGTATGTTTTACCTTTGTGTGCAGGTGTGCCTTCTCTTGAGAGGACAGAACTGGAGGCGGCATGCGAGGGTTTCATCAATGTGATCGGCACTTTACCTGAATGCACATTGTATAAGGGAACTCTGTCAAGTGGAGTTGAAATAGCTGTTCTGTCCACTTCAGTTAACTCTTCACAACAATGGTCAGCTCAGTCTGAGGAGCAATTCAGGAACAAGGTACTCATTTGTTGTAATGATGAAAATCATACATAATTTTAGAGTATAGTACTAACTGTTCTTATTTCAGATCTCGGTGCTGTCCAGAGTGAACCATAAGAACTTCATGAACCTGATTGGTTACTGCGCATGCGAGGAGCCATTCACCAGGATGATGGTGTTCGAGTATGCTCCATGTGGTTCCCTCTTTGAGCATTTGCATAGTAAGCCTCCTAATAATAATTTCTTGTATGTGTTCGATCTTGATTAATCTGAAGAACAAACAAACTGTAACTGGCAATTGTTGTATGTGTAAATTTGGTTTTGCAGTCAGAGAAGCAGAACATCTGGACTGGAAAACACGGCTACGAATCATAATGGGAGTAGCCTACTGCCTGGAGCACATGAGCCAGCTAGATCCTCCTCCTCTTCTCCCAACAAATTTGAGCTCATCATCCATCTATCTCACCGAGGACAACGCAGCCAAGATCGCCGACATCGAATTCTGGAAGGATGACATCAACAAGCAGGACGACCAAGAAAGCGTGGTGTACAAGTTCGGGATACTGGTTCTGGAGGTGATCTCCGGGCGGCGGCCATTCTCCGAGGACGACCGGCTCCTGGTGCTGTGGGCGTCCAGCTACCTGGACGGCAAGAGGCCACTCAGCGCCATGGCTGACCGGACGCTGGTGAGGTCGTCGTCTGCCGCGCCGGAGAAAGATGTGGCGGCGCTGTGCGACGTGGTGCGGCAGTGCGTGAGGAGGCCGGAGGCGGGGAAGAGAGCGATAAGCATGGGCGAGGTGGCGAGGCTGGTGAGGGGCATCGCCGGGTTGTCGCCGGAGCAGGCGGCGCCGAGGGAGAAGCCCCTGTGGTGGGCGGAGCTTGAGATCGCCTCCTCCGAAACCGCCTGAAATTCAGTTGAGGCCCCAAAATCAGTTAGTTTCAGAGTACATATGCGTTTGAAAGCCTGAAACTGAAATTCAGTGTGTTTTCTCTTCTTTCTGGTATCATACACCCTCCGTCAAATAAAAAACCAACATAGTACACATCATAATACAACGAAACTAAACATATTTGGATATGACATATTATAGTATAACGAATCTGGAATATCTCTGTCTAGATTTATTGTACTAGAATACGTCACATCTAGTGCTAGATTTATTTTTTTGGACGGAGGGTGTAGTAGGAAATTAGGAATACTCTGCAACATATTTTCATTTTTTTTTCTTTGCAGAAATGAGTTTGCAGGTTTGTAAAGGTGAGAAAAAAAGGAAATAAATACTAGCATTTAACCGATATGTAATCTTATCTTTGTGTTGTGTGTATTTGAAGTACTATATACTACCTCCAACCATATATGTATGACGCTGGCTAGTATAAATTTGAACTAGCCAACATCTTGTAAAAGAAACTGGAGGGAGTAACTTATTAGTACCAATAAGCATGTTAGTGAAGTTATTTAAGTAGATAATGACACAATGTAAACGTAATTTCAGATTATGATTTAGAGCATGCATGCGACAATGTAAGGCATGGTTTTTATAATAAGACACCTATTGCTTGTGTTCTCTCAAATATCAAGGCAACGAGAAAGTGAACGTAGCTCAACTGGTTATGTTGGAACCAACCACCTGGATTTAAATTCTAGATTTGACGTGAGTATTCGCATTTACAACTAATTATTCTTTCAGTGGTAGGCGACGTATCCCAGCGTTTAAGGCAACGCTACGAAGATCAACCGAAATACGAGCTTAGCAAGTTGTTGTCTTTGGATGGCTGCTTCTGATGAATAGATTGAATACGAAGTATATGCTGGATCATAAGCATTATACTACTCCAAACTGTGACCTACCGTGTGTTCTTTGTTCTTCTCAATCAGTGGAGGATCTCTTGCATATGTTCTTTCTTTGCTCCTTTTCGGCGAGCTACTAGAACTCTTTGGGCATAATTTGGGACACTTCTCTGTCCTTTGATCATATGCTATTGCAGACTAAGTGCACTTTTCAGAATCGTTGCTTCATGGAAATCTTTCTGTTGGGAGCTTGGAATATTTGGAAGCAAAGGAATGACTATATTTTTTAGAATAAGTCTCATTCCCTAGTTTCCTGGAGGATCTCTTTTAGAGTGATATGCTCCCGTTATTGTTTAGGCTTAATGAAAGTGATAAAGATGAGTAATTCTTAACTGGATTAGGATGTTGTAATCTTTTTGTTTATTTCTTTAACAAAGTTTATCTAACAGCGGGGGTCTCTCCTATTGTGTTTCCTTTAAAAAAAAGTTGTTGTTCTTTTATTGTGCTCACTAACTCATGGGGCGAGATGATTTCTGAATTGTGTTTCTTTTTTTTTTCTCACGTTCGTTGTAAACATTTCCCTTCAGTTTAATACAGTGATACTCAAATCTTTTGTATATTGAAAAAAAAAGTATCAAAGGCATTACCTCTATACCATATGGATCATAGCAATTTTTCACATATTCTAGCATGCATTTGTTTCTTTAAAAAGAAAAACTTGTGAAATTCATGAATTGCAAACATCAATCTCTACATAAATTTTACCCCAAAAGAGGAAGTTGATAGTGTTATTCGTTGCTTGTGAAAAGGCATCCTTGAGTTTGAGTGAGTAGAGTCGTCGTCTTCGTCTCCCAATTCAGTTGAGATCCCCTTCCGATCGTCCAACATTCCAATGGCCACCGCATCCTCTCCCGCTTCCGTCCAAGATTACCCCGACCTGCAAGAGGATGATGACGACGACTTCCAAGACGACGACGACGACGACCTCGATGACGAAGACGAGGAGGACGATGACCAAGAACCCTCCCCGTCCCCGTCCGACGAGGCTCGCCTCGAGTCCGTCCTGCGCCGCCTCACCGCGGAGGAGGTCCGGATCCGGGTGCACGATGTGGAGATCCGGGGCTGCTGCCGCACGCGCCGCGCCGCGGTGGAGGCGGCGGTCGGCTCGGACCTGCCGCGTGCCGCCACCGTCAGAGACCTCGTGCGCGCTGCAGCCGCCGCCGCCGATCGGATCCGTCGCCTCGGCGCCTTCGACACCGTGTCCATCACCCTCGACGCCGCGCCGCCAGGGATCCCCGGTAACGCTGCCGTCATCGTCCTTGTTGACGTCGCCGAGGCTCGTGGCCGCGCCGCCGGCGAACTCGGCATCTTCGCTAACAAAGGGGTATGCGCTTCCTACTGAAAATCTCTCCTTTCTAGTATAAAATTGAACATCCATGTTATGATTACTTACTTTGCTTGAGTTTCTAAAAGGATTAGACCGAACAATCTTCCTTCGCATTAGGAACAAGAGTAAACCTAGCCAATTCCAACGAAAATAAGTGTTTTTTTTTTCACATGGAAATAAGGCAATGTTGTACCATAATTTTGATCTCAGCAGACAACAGGTGTTAATTTGTTATGCTGGTACCATGACTTTGATGATGAACATGAGTAGGAAAATTTTAAGCGCATCTCTTAGTCAATCAATGCGATTTGTTTCGATAAAATTCAATGTGTCAATGTTGCTTTTAGGTGGAAATCACACAGCTCTCTTTAAGGACTACTCTAAAATGCGCATATGGTTATATTAGTTGCTTCAATTACACTAGTTTGATTGCTTGGAGAATAAAGAATAACTCGTCCACTGCAGTTTCTTTGTTTTTTCTAATGCAATTTTACTAGTGAACCATGAATCGAGTTTCATAACCTACTTTGCTGGGAGTAGAAAATGCCATGATGGCCAATATCTGCTGCATGATTTCAATTGCTTTTCAAATCTTCTTGTGTCATCCGCATAATTCCTTTTGAATTTATTGCAGACTAGATCATGTTCGGTTCAAGGTTCAGTGAAGTTGAAGAACCTATTTGGATATTGTGAGACATGGGATGCATCCGGTGATCTTGGATTAGATCAGACAGTGGAGCTAAGTACTGGAGTGGCAATACCAAGAATTGGAGCAATACCTACTCCACTGGTAGCTCGAATATCATTTCTCTCTGAGGACTGGTTGAAGTCCTCACTCAAAGAACACATGATGGGTGTTTCTGTTGGTTTGCTCTCCACCATGAACCATAACCTCGCTTACAATCTGTCATGGCGAACTATAACAGACCGAGCACTGATGTCATCCAATTCCATAAGGGGGCAGTTAGGGCATAGCCTTTTGTCCTCTATTAAATATGCATACAAGGTTGACCAGAGAGATTCAAGAATTCGACCGACACGAGGATATGCTTATCTATTTTCTTCTCAAGTTGGAGGCCTTGCACCAGAGAGCAAAGATGCACGTTACATTAGACAGGTATATTGAACAACTTTACCTTTGTGTTCTATATCTGCCACTTCCTTGAAAGGGGAAATCACATGACTTGCTCCATAGTTTTTGCCTGTTAAAAGCAGTTTATTCTTCATGTGTGATATGAATCATGACACTAAAGTACCAAAGACTTCTGGAATTAAATGTTTTGTTCAAGCATTCCAAATTCTTTCGTGGCATTTCCCTTTCTTTTTAGTCTCTGCAGAAACCAACAACTTTGCCTTTGAACGGCACAACTTGGTATCTCTGTTTATAATATCTAATGTGCTCGACATCTGAATTTTTTTCATATTAAACAACTGTTCTGATTCAAGCCTAAACTACTAGAGCTAGCAGGAATCATATTGTTCTTTTTTCACTGGCATCACTCATTTTATTCACATTATATCAGGAAATTGATCTTCGAGTGGCTTTACCGCTGGGTGTGTTGAATGGCGCCGTTAATGCTGGAGTGGCTGCTGGGATCATCCACCCATTGGCAAGGGGATCGACGGGCTCTATATCCCCACTTTCAGAGCAGTTCTACTTGGGTGGCAATAGGTCTCTTATGTGCCGCTTGGGTGGACCATCATCACTATTAGGTTTCAAGAAAAGAGGGCTGGGGACAGACTTGCGAAGCAGTACCCCAGAGAATTCTGAAAATGTTGCTTCCACTTCTCCTGAGCTAAGTGCACGGGGAGGTGACATTGCGGTCACAGCCTTTGCTGATCTGTCATTTGATATACCTCTGAAGCCTCTCAGGGAGCTGGGAATCCATGGCCATGCATTTGTCTCAGCTGGAAATCTTGCCAAACTAACAGAGCCTGATCTCAGGAAATTCCCTCTTGCTGAGTTTCTACAAACATTCAGGAGTTCTGCAGGATTTGGTGTAGTTGTGCCAACAAGATTATTTCGCATAGAGGTTTGTCTTTGACATCCCTCTAAAGTAACTGATGAAATTGAATTATTTTGTTACTGAATGAATTTTTTCCCCTCTTGCCCAGGTGAATTACTGCCACATCCTAAAACAGTTTGATTATGACCTCGGGAAGGCGGGGATACAGTTGAACTTTTCTTCGCCCTAATTTCTTTCTGCCACAAGATGAATAGCTGTATTTTCCTTTTCCCCTCACTATGACCCTCAGCTCTTGGTCTTTTTCTTCCTCCACAATTAATCTCTCCAGAAAAAAGGGCCCAGAAACTGTGGGTGATGAATTCTTGTCCTGGTCTATGATGTGATATTGACACCTGTAAAGTTTACAATCAAAACGGAAATGAAAGTCGTGAGAAGCATCAGTTTGCAATGCTTTTCTCCATGCTAGTGGAAGTGATAGTCACATGATAATTCTGTTCAAGTATCATTGTCAATAGAACAGCTGTGGTGAAAAAAAATCGACTGTGCAAGCCTGCAAGCTACGACATATGGTGTTGTACATTGTTGGAATAATGTTAAAAGGAACTACATGTTCTAATATGAGTCCCAACATGTAAGATTTTACACTGCAATTTCATCAAAGAAACACTATACAGTGCACCCTGTGAAGACCTTGTTTGGAATACATGATGGAAACATGTTTAACTGTTTTCAACTATTCTGGAATCGGGAACAATTCTATGCCCTATGCATGGGAAGAATAGCTTTTCTCAGACAGAAGAGCATATGTAGAGGCACAAAAAGTATCATAGCTTATACTGAATTTGATTCAGTGACTAATGCCGTGACCTCGTCGATCAAGCAGTTGGGGAGATTGGAGACATTCCGATTTCTAAGAGGATGGTGACATGTCTAATACATGTCAGGTGCTGAAGAAGAGCAGCAACGTTTTTCTGCAGGTGCAGGTAAGGCAACCAGCCACTATGTTTGACAAACCACCAAATTCTGTTATTCAGCTATTCAAAAGGTTGGTGAACTTGCCGGACTGATATGACAAATGTGTGTGCTCCTTTCTTTTTCTCTTATTATTCTCTTGTCTAGATTTCTCACATGCAGATGCATGCTGCATTGGAACAGCTGACATGTTTTATTTCCTCACCACTGCTTGTATCGCTCTAATTCTTGAACTAATCGGCACGCAGCAAATCAGCTAGGTGGTAATTAGTTGGTTGAGTCATAGTACAAACTAAGAACGGAACGGCCTTGCAAATATATAAGCTCATGCTAGTACTGTTTCTGTTAGTCAACAAGGCCTAGCTAATTCCTAGTACAACTCCAGCTGATTTCTTAGTGCTGTGGTCATAATTAACTGATATCGTCATACAGTGAAATGCTATTTATTGTGGCAATTAAGCTTGATCCTTTTCCTATCTTCCAATTGGTCTCCATGATAATTAGCATTCATGTTCTCTAATTAGGAAAGTGAGTTAGTTAATTTTTCCTCGCAAATGGTGGTTAGTTAATCTTTGAAATGGAATGATAAAGAAAAAGAAGGTTTTTAATGTAGATTTTGAAAAAGCTAGATCTCTTTTGCTTTGAAACCAGAGGTACCAGCTGGAAGAACTTGCATTGTACCAAATTGGAATAATAATGAGAAAAGGGCAAATAATATGCATTGCTATGGTACTGATGTAACTGATCCATGGCTCTCCAATCTCTCTGTTCAGTAATCATCATGCCAGCTGATCTTTATTAGTTCCTTATTTTTGAAACGGTGATATATCAAACCTATGTTGTATGCTTATATGCTTCATGAAGTTTTCAGAGAACAAGCATGCCACCAGGCAACAATTCAACAATGATATACCGGTTTTCTCTCTTTCTTTTGTATCAAAGAAAAACAGGCTAGCTGGTCAATAGGGAGAATTAATTAATGTTGTACAAAATGTACCTAAAAGATAAAGTGCTACTGGTTTAATTACATTCATACGTTCAAAAGTTTAGTTAAGATGTCTTCTGAGTAGTCCAATGATGGACCTCACCTCTACATTAACATCTTCTGAAGTTGAGAGTACATGCACTTTAATTGAAGTGTCCATTAGACTCATCAGGGTTATCCGTATGCTAATACACACATACAGGGATTGAGGGATTGTAGTAATGCTTTCGTACTAACGGAAATCCCAATTGTACCTATTCTGCGAGATTCCTCCACTTCAATATTGCATCACTGGGAATTCTACTGAAAACACCTGTATCCCAAAAAGGATATATAAAAATGTAAAGGAACATATTTATAAAAACCTTTGGGTACATGATTATTTTTTAAAAAGAAACAATGGAGATTTTCACAAGCTTGGCTTGGCATATTACTCAACTGAAAAATAACACTAGTACACATCAGCAACAGCAATATACTCCATCAGAGTAACTGTAAATGATGAGATATACTGACGTGTTATACATGTATTGATGTATATATGCATCCTGCAGGAAATACCAGCTGAACAATGGGGCCAGGAAGAGAGGAAAGCAAAAGGCTAGAAAAAGGCATTCAACCTTTTGCCAACCACCATGATCTTCCCTTTCTTCAGTCCATACATATGACTCATTCCTTACATTATCTTTGCAACCTTTATGTTTTCATCGACTTTCTATGAAATTCCAACTAATTCTTAAACCTTCATATATACTTGATCACTGCCATGGAACCGGCTAAAATGTGTGATGCCCTATCAGGACCAGTTAAATAATACCAAACACTGATAGGGGGGGTTTTCTACCTTCATCCCGTCCTAATGACCCCCTCAATCCTCACTACTGGTAAAATTATACTTGGTTAAAAAAAAGATATATAGATGATCCTTACGAACCGATACTGATGAGGTGTCCTGGAGTAATACCCATTGGTATGTTAATAATATTAGAATTGAAACAAGCACACATATATACTTTACATGCTACACCCTCCGTCCTAAAATAATAATAAGTTTGATAGTTCAAATTTTGTTGTTGATGTAGCAACCTAGGATATGTAAAAAGTAACTTTTGCTACTTAACTATTATATTATGCTAATATCCTCTTGCTCTATTATAATCCGAGCATATACCTCAACTATCTGGAGAAGGCAAATAAGTTTTTCTAGTCCTTCTTAATGCATGTGTCACCTTCTAAAAAATGTTATATTTTAGGAGTAATAATTTTTTAAAAATAAAAATTGGTACAATGTGTAGACAAAATAAATTACGTGAGTATATCAGGACGGGAGGACAATTGACACGTACATCCTCCTACATAGAAGTATTACTAAAAACTCGTGCGTTCACATAGACAAGCACAGAGACAAAATGGCATGTAGTGCAAGGAGCTAGTCAAAGACCCGGAACTCTTCATACTTCATCTGAATTTTGTCTCTTGGACTCTTTTCTCCATCTCTCATTTTCACACTGGGTCCTTTTAGTCCACTGCTCTTACTATACTAGCTAAGAGACAAAAAGGAAATTAACAAGTTAGAAATCGATGAAAATTCTACAAGTAAGACTCAGAGAAACCTATCAAAGACTTTGGATCGAGTAAGTTCCAACCAATTCCAAACTGGAGTAGCTACTTCTTGGAAGATTGTCTGTCCCTGGATCTTAATTATATATTTACCTACTTCTCCTCATGCATGAATCCACCTGCTGCCTTTAATTACCTAGCTAGCTACCTTAATTACTACTGGAGTAGATTGGTAGTTACTTGTATATGAGCATGCATGCTTAGCTCAATCCCTTCCAAAAAGGCAGCAATATATATGCATCTGGACATATATATGGGTGTAGCTAGGTAGATAGATAGAATTGAATGGTGACCTCAGCTCCAGCTTCAGCTTTTGGCTTCTCCTATAGCCTCTTTTGACATCATATCAGTGCAGTGGCCGGCGGCGATATCATGCAGCAGCAGCAACGAGACTAGAGCTCTCTTCATCATCATATCGTCAAGCTGCCATAGATCGATCAGAGCTGGCTGCTGGCCGGCCGGTGATCCTTCCTATAATTTCCTAGCTTGTGTCATGGAAAAAACTAGTGCAGGCAAGGAGGAGGGCTCCGAGAGTAAGACGGCGGCGGCCAACAACGATGGGAGCTCGACGAGCAGTACTACGGAGGAGGAGGAATCCGGGGAGAGCCAGCGGCGCACGTCGTCGTCGTCGTCGGTGCGCCCCTACATCCGCTCCAAGAACCCTCGCCTCCGCTGGACGCCGGAGCTCCATCTCTCCTTCGTCCGCGCCGTCGACAGGCTCGGCGGCCAAGATCGTAAGCAATCCGACCTATCTATTTGCCATAGCTAATTAAGCTTCATCATGTTCGGTCCGGTTCAGTCTGATATTAATTATTCCTCCCTAAACATGCGCATATGTGTGTATCTATATATTGATCGATTACTAATTTTATTATTTACTCATCGATCTCATTTCAATCTGCTCCTGTTGTTAATTTCACTATTCATCTTTGTATGTAATTATTCCTATAGGTGCAACTCCTAAGCTCGTTCTTCAGTTGATGAATGTTAGAGGGCTTAGCATAGGCCATGTCAAGAGCCATCTCCAGGTATATTATACCTAACAAACTTGTTTCGTTTCTTATGCTCTTATTAATTAATTTAGGTCAGTAGTAGTATTTCCTCTTAATTTCCTAAAATTAATCCATGTTGCCTTTTCTTCCATATGTTCGATTTTCAGATGTATAGAAGCAAGAAGATCGATGAGTCTGGCCAGGGTATGTGCCAGACATGACCAATTAATTCTTCATGAACAGATTTTAATTTTTTTTTGTGTAAGATGCAGTGTTGGAGATCTTCAGATGAACATGTTGATTGATTTTGTGCATACAGTGATAGGTGGTGGCTCATGGAGATCTTCAGATGAACAGCAGTATCATCATCTGCAAATGCAAGGTGGTGGTGACGGGGGACAAGCGTACAACCTTGGCCATCTTTCCTTGCCTGCAGCTCTTCATCATCGCCACATCACTGCTGGCTCCGGTACCATCTTGCAGTCCAGGTAGTTGTTAGATCCATGCATGCATGCAACTCTAGCTAGCTTGCAAACAAAATCCATTAAATTTCTCAGACAACTTTAGTTAGTTATTTGTCTGGCATGCAGCACACTCTTGTATGCATAATTGAAATCTGCCGATGGGTCCTCTCCTAAAGTCATATACACTTAACTTGTTCTTCTGACTAATTATTGACGCCGATCGATCACTAATAATGGACTATATATATTTACATATATAGGGTTGCCAATGCATGGTCCCCATGGAGATGCCATGGATCATACTGGCTCCGTGCAGGCCATCACCTGCTTGTTGGATCAAAACCCTATTACCCACCACCACCAGCTGAAGCTAGAGCTAATACCAGCAGCAACCATCCAGATTTTGTCCAAGGCTCTTCTTCATCTCCAGATGATCATACCATGAACCATCAAAGACCAGTAGTGCTGAAAGAGATGATCTACAATGAGGGTAGTAACCATCAAGGAGGTCCTCTTAATCTCGATCTCTCACTCGATATCTGTCCGCGGGGCGAGAAGAGGAAGAGAGAATTGATCAGCTGGAGGAAACATGAGGAAGATCATGATCATACTACTATTGCTATTGGTGGTGATCAAGAAGCAGAGAGTTGTGCTACTGGGCTCTCTCTTTCTTTGTTCTGATCATGTCTCCCCTGTTGAAAGATGCATCATCAGAGTCCTACCACTACTATATTGCTGTGCTGTACTGGTCTGGTCCCTGGTGATATATCAGATATCACTAGCTAGATCATATGTCATTGTGGATGATAAATCAAATTAGGAAAGAAGAAAACTCATGCAACAGGGACAAGTACTCTTCATCTCACCATATGACTACACTGTGGTGATATTTTGTGGTACTTGTCCTTTTACGCATGTATCTAGAGGAAGATAAACATAAATTTATTGTATTTCTGTTGCACATTATCTTTCGTATCTTTTGATTAATATAGCTGATCCCGGTTGATCTATCTACTGATTCATTAATAATTGTGGTTTATGTTAATTTCCCTAAGGAGTTGGTGTTTGTTTAGTGAGGTATATATGCAATTTCAATTATTGGTATACAGATTTTAGAGAGTAATGCAGATCTATAGCTCCCCCTACTATATGCTATTTTATTTTGGTTTAGTTCTACTCAACAGCATGCCTATAAGTCACCTTATTAAACACTCTATATCATGTTTGACAATGATTTTTTTCTTTTTCTTTTTCTTTTTTTTTTGACAGAACATGCTATATATTGAGATTTGAGATCTATATATAGGAATATCTGGTCCAAGTATGTGCATCTGAAATTAACTATTTGACAGTGTATTGGTTCATGATGGATTGACTGTTTGTGTTTTTCACTGTAGATCTCTGACTTCGATCTCCATGCAACTCATAAATTATCTCTGATAGTTTTATGCACCGCCTATCTAGGGGTGTGTTTAGTTCCACACCAAAATTGAAAGTTTGACTAAAATTGAAAGTTTATGTGTGTAGGAAAATTTTGATGTGATGGAAAAGTTGAAAGTTTGAAAAAAAGTTGGGAACTAAACAAGGGCTAGGACTAACAATTTCAGTTCAACCGTAGCAGCTTCTGGTTTTGTTCGGTGCATGACCAGTTCTTTCCTTTAGTTCTATTCATTGAAAAACGTTGAAATGGTTTACCATGTTGCTTCCAGGTGAAGACACAGCTATAGTTAATGCTGTTTGTTCCTATATCCAACTTTCTGCTTGTTAGGCAGGTTTGCTAATTTTTATCATTATGGTTGATGTCAACTCTTAGAATTAATGCAAAGTGTAAAAAAAGTATGTAAACTTATATATGTAAAATATTGCGAAGCCACTCTATAAATTTCCTGGACCTGGAGCATATGTCAGCGTGAAATCATTGCCAATGCTGAACTATTTCCTCCCCCATTTTTGTAGGGGAGATGTCTTGATTGAACTAAAACACCGGGTATCACCCTGAGATTGCTAATTGAGCATTTTCTGGGGTTGTGTGGAATCGACAATGCCATCAGAAAATTTTGTGGATGTGCTAAGCAGTTACAGCCGTAAGGCCTAGGATGAATATTCCTTAGCTATTTTCTGCCGATTCTTTTGAACCTCTTGGTTGAGTATTTGTATTTCCCTTTTTTTATTGAAAGATTGATATTCGATAACTTTTTAAATAATGTATAGAAATCCGGCCTTTATATCCATTCCATAATTGGATATACACAGGCAAAAGTTACACGAGTGCATACACTCAACATCTTAAAATTGAGATACAAAGAAAAAAAACGAAATGAAAATGACTAGGAGACTAGCTCCAAGTTTTCCCTCGTCATTGCAAACTTCGGAGGATGTGGAACTAATCCTCCCTTCCGCCTCCATGCCCTCTCGCTGCCAATTCAAGCTTCTCCATCCGCCGTGAGCAAAGACAGGGGCAGAACTAGCCCTCCCTGCAGCCTTGTCAATATCAAGCACTAGCCTCATGCCGCCTAGTGTATGCTCCCTCAGTGTCAACGCAACCATCACCGCCATGTCATCATAGTAGGATACCACATCTATAGAGTTATCGTAGCTTATCTCGCCAAAAGTCTGCATCACTACACCATGGTCACATCCCATGCAAACCATCACACTGCCCCACCGTCCTTGTTGCAGAACCTCAACTCCGTCAAGCCGCCGAAGCTTAATTATCTCACCGGAAACCGTCACTGCCACGCTGTCATCGCTATGAGCCACAACCTCCGTTGAGCTGCCTTAGCTTATCTCATCGGAGAGCCGCCACAAACGTTGTCATCGACCACAAACTCCACCATGTTGCTATCATAGGTTGTCTTGTTACAACCACGCCGCCTTCACCGCGGACCTCCATCACCGCTGTGCTCAACTTTGCTCCTAGTGCGATGCCAAGCTGACTAGCCAACATTGCCACCCACCACCTTTGCCAACATCAGCGCCATCACCGTCATCGCCACCTAGGCCTGTGGCACCACCGCAAACCCTTCAGCCCTAAGAACACCCCCACTGCCGTTGTGCGCTGCAGCCCACCGGCGTGCTGACTGGCCTCCGTCTTCCACCATCACTGCCGTGCCTCCCACCTCCATGATCGACATCGACCCCACCTAGTGGCGGACCTAGAAAAATTGCACTGGGTGTGCCCATTCTAGCGATCACTCCACCATATATTTTTTAAAAAGATAACACCCAATTCCGATGGAAGAGTTTTGGCAGATTTTGGTTGGATTTTTCAAAATTCTATTCAAATGTGGTCCATAATTCATGAAAAATCCATAAAATTCAGAAAAATCAATCCCATGTCCTAATCTATCTAGCTGTTCTTTTTCCCCCATTGTTTCTCTTCATCTAATCTTTCCTCTTCCACTGATTTGATTTCTTGACGATTATAAGATCTCCAAACAAACCGTGATCATTGTTATGTTCTATTTTCTGAGAGGATTCCATTTTTATGTCCTTTGATTGCATACTACATCCTAGTAGCAAAGGGGCCCAACTCCATTCCTGGCACGATGCCCTTCTAGCATAGGGGTCAACGATGCCATTCGTCTCCACCGCTGTGTTGATGCGAAAAACACACACTGGCCTGGAAGATCTGCTTAACTTCAGTGCAGGTCCAAAATCTTGCTTTTAGGTTCGTGAGCGTGCCAGTTGATTTGATCCTGCAATCAACAAGAAAGAAAGACGAGAAAACCGCGGTTAAATCCATAAACGATAGCCGTTGCCGATGACATATCATTTATCTTCGAGCCGATGTCATATTGGAATCGATCAGCAGTTATAGGTAAATAAGATAAGACTGAATCTATTCGATCGGCTGTAGATATTAACGACATATAATCCTTCTAACGATGTATAATTAAACTAAGTGATTGGGATAGACCGGTCACCATGCCGAGATAGTATAAATCACTTAGGTCGAAGTATACATTAACACAAATGTTATAAATGTTTATAGCATAGCCGATCAGATAGATCTAGCGTGTATCGGCTAATACTCCGATGCTACTCTATATTAAGATATTAAAATAGGAAGAATATATCAAACAAGAAGCCTAGTATACTTTAGTGCGATAAGATCTTAATATAAAGGGCAGATTTAGCATATCAATCAAGCATATAAGATATAAAGTAGCTAAATCAGGTAAGATCGGCTGAAACCCCGATGCTATCTCTTTCGATGATCATAAAGCAAGCCATATATCATAATTATGAATATTACTTAATAGATCGAACTCAACCGATGCAGTATTAAGCATAAAGACAAGTATAAGATCTAGGCAAGATGATGAAATCCTCTAAGAGATGGTAGATACACGATATAATCTAGATTAATAACAATACATAACCCTATCAGTCACTTCCTAATGGTAAGAACCAGCCGATAAAAAATTATATAGTGCAACTAACAAAGATTGCAACGTGTATATGATAACTCGACGAATTACATAAACAGGATTAAAGTGTCATAAAGATGGAAGCATTAACCCCGAGAACGCAAGCCGCCATGACAAGCTTACCTCTAGTTGAAGATCGAATCGATGCAGCTCAACCCGAAAGTAAGAACTCGTCGAAATAGAACGAAAGTAAAAAGGGTGGCGATGCGCCGAGATTGTATTGAACTGAGAGGCCTCTCTATTTAGTCTTAATTGGAGACACCACATACATCAGAGAAAGACTACACATCTATATAGACATGCATGTCTTCTTTGCTATTATGCATGCATGTCTTTTTTCCCTTCTTATAAAATTTTCTCTCAAATTACTTATCCGATCTACAATAATCCAATTACACCATTATGTTCGTTACAATTAAATCATTACAACAAGATCTTACATTATTATATTATGATGAAAAAATATTTATGTTTGTAAATGACATTTATTATATACGTAAGTTACTTTTATCATATATAACAATTACTTTTCGATTTGATTAAATTACTTCTTATACATTCATAATGCTCTAAGTTGATTATTTTTATTATTGTTTTTAGTCAATTCTATAATTTGTGGACTTTAATTTAATTTTTAGATAGACCATATTTTTCTCTCTACGACGAATTTGCTTTTAATATTGTAACAATTTACTTCCATTTTATGCTAAATTACTTTATGATTTATTTAAATTACTTTTAGATTTTATTGAATTTACTTTCATAAATGCATTTACTTAAAAATCTTTTCTACACTTTACTTGTGAATTTACTCTACATAGTTTCTTATTTCAACTCAGTCATAATGTAATTATTTCTAATGCTATAGAGAGTTACTTCTAGTTCATTGCTAAGTTACTTCTGCAATTTAAATAAATTACTTTTAAATTAATAAAATGTTTGAATATATTCAACATAGATCTTGTTTAGTCACATATTTTATGTAGAGTACAATGATGCAAATAGATTTTGAAAATAATACTCCCTCCGTTTCATAATATAAGTGATTTTTGAGCGATGTGACACATCATAGTACAATGTATCTGGACAGACTCTCCGTCCAGATGCATTGTACTAGATTGTGTCACATCTCTCTAAAATCCCTTATATTATGGGATGGAGGGAATATGTGATTTAAAAGATATAAGTCATTAAATAGATTAAAAAAAGACATGCACCATAAGCTAAAGGAGAATTATATATGGAATAGAGTGGTCTTCGGTTAGAACTAAAGCACTACAATGCACTACCTAGTGACGTCCATTTTCTATAGAATCTCTCAAGAAGTCTTAAAAGAATCACACAAGTAGGTAATATATAAATAAACAACTCTACAAAGTTGCATGAACAAACTCGACTTTATTAATGGAATATAAAATTAACAAATCATTAAAAATACACTATTCCTCTTTTTTTTTCTCATATGTTTCTCAATTTTATATCTCAACCAATTTTAAAAATAATCTCACGAAATGCTAAGGTAGTATTAGACAAGCATACAAAGTTCTTAAAAATAAACTCAACTTTATTTTGTGAAA